TATGTATATACACATATGTTTGTATATATTCTCATGCACAGAAGAATAGATTCGTGCTATTTGGATCAGTTTTATCTACTAGGTAGGCACATATGTGCATACATATCTATGTAGGTATAATGTTTTTAATGTTCAATAATTTCTTATAAAATTTCAACTTATACACTTAGGTTTCTTTTTATGCGGTTCTTTTTTATGCGGATTTGAATTTATGCGGTTTTTCAAACACTTTTCGCTGTAGCGATTTTGCTTTTTTGAGAGCTTTTATTACTTTTTTTCAATATGCAAGGGGCAATGCTTCTGATAAATAATTTGTTGTTGTATTCTTACATACAAGTAATTACTAAGTAATTTGACTAAGTAACTATGTTCTTCTTCTTCTTAATTGGCGCTGTAACCGCCTAAGCGATTTTGGCCGAGTCCAAAACAGCACGCCAGTCATTTCTCTTCTGTGCTAACTGACGCCAACTGAAAATGCCAAGTGAAGCCAAGTCCTTCTCCACCTGGTCTTTCCAACGCAGAGGAGGCCTTCCTCTTCCTCTGTTACCAGCATCGCGGCCCGCGTTGAATATTTTCAGAGCAGGAGCGTTTCTGTCCATCCGAACGACACGAGCAAACAAGCAGCGCTCGCTCGTTTGGCGAGCGAGCCAAACTTCTCGTGCCTCGCCTCATTGCTGCTACGAGTACGAGCTGCGAGCTCCTCGTTGTCTGCGAGGTATTGAGTAGGAGTTTGCTCACTCGCTCGCTCGAACTCCGAGTTTTTTCCCACCCTGATTCTATTAAACATTTTACACCGCATTTAGAGCAGCCACCACGAAAAATTAACACTTTACTTAGCTATCCTCCAATTCGTAATTTTTATACCTTTCATGAGCATGAAATGGTATTATAACTTTGCTCCGATGTTTGTAAGTACCAGAATAAGAAGAGATAGACCCATTAAAATGTATACTTAAATGATCAGAACGCCGAGCTGCGTCGATTTAGCCATGTCCGTCTGTCCGTCTGTCTGTCTGTCTGTCTGTCTGTCTGTCTGTCTGTCTGTCCGTCTGTTTGTATGCAATCTAGTATTTCAGTTTTCGAGATATCCGGATAAAATTTGGTACGTGGGTGTATTTTTATAATGTATTAATCATTTGTCGGAACCGGAAGAATCGGACCACTATAACATATAGCTCCCATACAACTGATTGTTCAGATATGAGATTTTTCGTTATAACTTCTCCATTTACGCGACTAGGAACATGAAATTTTGCAATACTTTCACCCATTATCAACAGAAAACTTAGAGTTAAAATTACAAAGATCGGGTCACTACAAATATTGTTCAGACATAAGATTTTTCGTTATAACTCCTCCATTTAAGCAGCTAGGCACATGCAATTTTTCACTGTTATCACTCATTATCAAAAGAATATTTTCAGTGAAAATGGCGAAGAGCGGGTCGCTATAACCTATAGCTCCCATACAACTGATTGTTCAGATATGAGATTTTTCGTTATAACTTCTCCATTTACGCAGCTAGGAACATCAAATTTTGCCATACTTTCACCCATTATCAACAGAATACTTACAGTGAAAATAACAAAGATCGGGTCACTATAACATATATCTCCCATACAACTGATTGTTCAGATATGAGATTTTTCGTTATAACTTCTCCATTTACGCAGCTAGGAACATCAAATTTTGCCATACTTTCACCCATTATCAACAGAATACTTACAGTGAAAATAACAAAGATCGGGTCACTATAACATATATCTCCCATACAACTGATTGTTCAGATATGAGATTTTTCGTTATAACTTCTCCATTTACGCAGCTAGGAACATCAAATTTTGCCATACTTTCACCCATTATCAACAGAATACTTACAGTGAAAATAACAAAGATCGGGTCACTATAACATATATCTCCCATACAACTGATTGTTCAGATATGAGATTTTTCGTTATAACTTCTCCATTTACGCAGCTAGGAACATCAAATTTTGCCATACTTTCACCCATTATCAACAGAATACTTACAGTGAAAATAACAAAGATCGGGTCACTATAACATATATCTCCCATACAACTGATTGTTCAGTTATAGGAATTTTCGTTATAGCTCCTCTATTTATGCACCTAGGAATATGAAATTTTGCAATACTTCCACCCATTAACAACAGAATATACAGCGGAAATATCAAAGATCGGGTCACTTTTACATATAGCTCCCATACAAGTGGTTGTTGGAGATTTTTTGTTATAACTACATCCATGCAGCTAGAAACATGAAATTTCGCACTATTTTCACTCATTATCAACAGAAAGTTTACAGTGAAATTAACAAAGATCGGGAAACTATAACCTATTTATTGCCCCCATACAACTGATTGTTCAGATATGGGGTTTTACTGTAAAACTCCTTTATTTGGGCAGCTAAAACCGATAAATTTCGTAAGCTATTTTATAAGTAATAATACAAAGTCTACTGAGAAAATCGTCAAAATGTATGCTGTGTGAGCTTTATCTCTTATACCACTGATTGTTCAGATACCAGTCTTTGCGATATATCTCCTTGATGTAGGTAGCTAAACCCATTAAATTGTGTTACCGGTTCACGTACCGATCACACAGCAGTGAAAATCATTTAGATTGGTGCTATATAAGATATATCTTCCATACCTCTGATTGTTTAGATATTATTTTTTATATATGCATCTGCTCTATCTATGCCTGCTGTGAATATATACATTTTTTCAAGTAAAGTAAAATTTTCAGATGCTCATGAAAGGTATGAAGCCTTCGGCATAGCCGAAGACAGCGCTGCTCTTACTTGTTTTCTATTAATTTTAACGCTTATTTTCACTAATTCAAATTCAATGGCATTTACGGTCAAATGAGTGAAAACAAATTGTCAAATGGGACTAAAAAATGTTCTTTTGATTGACTTAGATCAGAATAGGCCTTCAGGCATTTACATGCGCTGCTAAACCGGCTATTAGTAAGTTTTGGCTCATCATATCATCGATAAAGGTAGGGATAAACGCAGGAAAGTGGTGTCAAAATATGCAGACAAATTTTGTTGTGAAAACATGGCATAATGCCAGCCTTTATTCGCCCATACAGTCCAGTGTCTAGGATGTCTTCAAATTTCTCTTTAGATAAGAACTATAGCTATTTGACCCATATTCGCTTTTTGATTTCTGGAAATATATTTAAAATACTTTCGAAGTTACTAACGGCAATTTGATTATTTTCTCTAGACTTGCTGCACCTATTAAAAGGAATCGGATAAATTGGCAGACTTTTCCTGTTGTTTTATAAAGAAGCATACTTCACAAAGTGTGTTTTTTGTCTTTTGCGCCAATATTTTTCAGTAGTAAAAACTAGAAAAAACAACGCTTCTCCGATTCCCATTAGACTATAGTCTATAGATATAGGCTCAGTTAAAAAAAGCCAAATCATATTTAAAGTACATCCATCTTTTGTGTTCATGTTTTAAATAAAATTAATAAAAAAACTACAAATGGATTATGTAACTTTGTTTAAGTACAATCGGTCTCATTTAGGTACATACATTTATTTTATAATATTAGGTACAATCTGAAATTTCCATTTTTCATGTTTGGTTCTTATACGTATACAGAAGCAAAGCAGCGATTTTCAGGATTCAGTCAGATTTCACCAAGGTAACATTACACTCGGCCGTTGATTGTTTTTCTTCGTAATTTTAGCACACGCTTGCCACATTTTGTGTAGGAAATTGACAAAAAATGCCCTAAGCAAAAAGTGGTGTATTATTCTTCGATTGGTGCTTGCGTGAGTTTGCTACGATTCAAACACAAAATAGTGCGACTCTATATAAGAACTATAGTTTATAGCTCAAAGAACCTTCAACAACCCACAATGTCCATTATGCTGTTATTCCTAGGTATTTTTAATATAAGCAACCTGTATTTGTCATGCTGTGTGAATTTAAAAAAATATAAAGTGGGCTTCTTGATGACCAACGTTCAGTAATTTTATAATAAGTTTCATGATTTTTTAAAAAAAAGGCCACAAGTTGCATACTTTTAAAAAAAAATTGTTTTCTGTCTAAAGAAATCGATAGAGAAATAACGGGTGATTTTTTTGAGGTTAGGATTTTCATGCATTAGTATTTGACAGATCACGTGGGATTTCAGACATGGTGTCAAAGAGAAAGATGCTCAGTATGCTTTGACATTTCATCATGAATAGACTTACTAACGAGCAACGCTTGCAAATCATTGAATTTTATTACCAAAATCAGTGTTCGGTTCGAAATGTGTTTCGCAAACCCAATTGCTGCGAACGGCGACGAATCGACATTTCACGGTCTTCAGCAACACTCTCAGAAACAGACGCAATATTCTCTTCTGTACGCACTGTACGCATTCGTGTGGTTGGTTTAATGTCCAATAAAGTAAACTGAGTGCGAAACTTGGTCACAATCGCATTAATTGTTTGCTCACTTGGTCGATTATGTAGACCATAAATCGGACGTAAAGCGAACCGAACACTGATTTTGGTAATAAAATTCAATGATTTGCAAGCGTTGCTCGTTAGTAAGTCTATTCATGATGAAATGTCAAAGCATACTGAGCATCTTTCTCTTTGACACCATGTCTGAAATCCCACGTGATCTGTCAAATACTAATGCATGAAAATCCTAACCTCAAAAAAATCACCCGTTATAAATGCTGGTTTATGCCCAGAAATACTCTATTTTTACCTTCCTTTTATTAGCTCGGGATGTAACTATGTAATATTGATGCGCTTACAAGATACAGCGATTTCTATTCTCAAGTTACACACCTGATGACAGTAAGAATGGCAATTATAATAGGGAGGTTTTAGTTTTTAAACTATAATTTTATTAGGACTAAATACCTATTTATATGAAAATAATAAAATCTAAACACTGTGACCATCTTGTCGGCTGGCATTTAAAAGATTTGATTCTAACAAAACGGTGCACAGTTATTAAACCAATGCTGGGCACACCAACACAGTCTCATTTTGTCATGGTAATAGTGTGTCGCGCTCAGTTATGGTTGCCACGTTTTCGTGCATGTGCCTTTTGCCCTATTTTGCTTATACATAGGTATAGGAGGATGGTTCCGTGCGCAGAAGTGGAAAATTTTTGACTACCATTCACCTGGTAGTGGCCAGAAGCGATTCTTGTGCGTACGGTTCAAATCGAAACTCACAACGTCCGGATATTTATATCCACGTATCCTCTGGGTAGCAACCAAACACCCGTTTGGGAGCGAGCTAAAGTGAGAAGGCGTAAAACTTCGCGTGCGCTGGGTTTGGGTCCCGCCACGTTAAAACCACGCCCAATGAAAAAATCTATAAAGCCTCGGATGAGACCCCCTTTTTCTGATGACGACCACGGCAAACGTATAAAGGACTATGATTTAAGGGTATGCACCTGGAAT